GAGAGAGAGAGAGAGAGAGAGAGAGAGAGAGAGAGAGAGAGAGAGATTGACCCTGCCACGCACCAAATCCAGGACAAAAACCCAGACTCTCAGAGGCCGGAGATGGGGATCAGTAGACACAGCTCCCGGCTCCTTGGGGACACCTGCCTGGGCAGAGCAGAGGGGAGGCCAGATTCCTGCCAGCGAGCGACCAAAAGCCTCATCAGAGCTTTCATTCCCACGAGCTCTGGCATCAGCAGCCAGGTCCCAGAGCAAAACGCAGGGAATGGATTTGCTGCACCACTGCTGCAGGTGCGGTGAGAGGGAGCGGGTGACTGTCTTGAAGTCACATAGTAGTGAGCGTGAGGGTTGGTGATCCCCGACCTGTGGTTTCCATACAGGAAGCCAGTTCAGGACTCACCCCAGGCAGGGCAGGAGCTCTGGCGGCTGTGGGGTCTCTCTCTGTCTCTCTCTCTGTCTCTCTCTCTGTGTGTCTCTCTCTCTGTGTCTCTCTCTCTCTGTCTCTCTCTCTCTGTCTCTCTCTCTGTCTCTGTCTCTCTCTCTCTTGCAGGAGCCATGCACCACTGAGGACCTGCCAGCTGGAAGGTCCCCTGCACTTCTTACATTACAGGATGAGCAGGTGACAGGACAGATGCATGGGACTTAGCATGGGCTCCCGGGGTGCTGGGGGATCAGTCCTCTCAGGTCAGCCAAGCCCTGCCTGCGTTTCCTGTTGACAGAATCACTGACCTCAGAGCACGAGGGATGACATTAAACACCCACATTTCAGAGCACGTACGGAAGGAAATGAAAGTTCCTGATAAAATATTAATTCCACATTAACTTTTCATTACTTTTGATTCCTCCAAGCATTAAAACAGCAGGGAGAAACAATTTCAAAAGTTAGAGGAAAACATCTTGTACTTTTGGGAAACCTATTTCTAGTCTAACTTACTATTCTGGGCTTTGTTGAAGAAAAGGGGAGACCAGACTTCTGGGACTTTATGGTAGGAATTTACTTGTCCCTCCGCCTGGTGATTCCTGGTGCCTGCCGTGCTCAGCCCTGCTGGGTGCCCGGACACCTCGGAAGGGGGGCTCCATGCCAGCCAGAGTGGCCACTGCCAGCAGGCACGTTTGTCTCCACAGGCGACACAAAGGACGTGGTTGGCCCTCAAGGTCAGGCTGTGCCCTCTGCCCAGAATGCCCTGAGTTAACCGGCGCTGTGCTCACAGGACGCGGGGAAGGAGGCAGCGCTGCTGAGAGGTGTTCTTACCACCCACAAAGAGCGATAAACCCCACAGCACACTCACGCCCAGGGCTGCGAGTCCCTTCCCTGCCATGCCGGTTTGGTTTCCGTTTCAGGCTCCCACTTTTCCGAGCTCACAAGCCCCCCAGGAAGCCCCTAGCAGCACCAAGTCTGCACCAGACCCCGGGTCTGTGCAAGGCCGTTGCCCTCCTCTCTCACGCTCGGCTTTATCGCCTGGCCGGACCCCTGCCGGGCCCACAGCAGGGCTCCACCCTAAGGCACTTACGGGTGCCTTCCACACGCCAGCCACCGTCCCGGGAAATGCACTGTCCAGGCAGTGAAACGATTTCCAGGGAACAGGGAGTTAGCAATCTGCGTAGGAAAGACAGATTAACTAGTTATATAGGACGTCAGTAGAGAGGAAGGCCGACGGAAAGGAGATGGGGCCAGAGAGCAGAGCCACGGGCGCCTTTGTGGCTGTAAACAAGGAAGAACTCGCTGGGCCCCGCCCCGCGGGGCCTGTGGCAGTGCCTGGCAGCTGGCAGATGTGACTTGATGGCAGGTGGAGCCACGTGGCCGGCTGACTGCTCTGAGGACACTGGGGTTGGGCCACGAGGGGCAGAGGCGCGCCCACTCCTGCTCCGGGGCTGGCTCTCTGGCCTGGAGCCCTCAGCACTCCTGAGGCGCCGCAGAGCCCCTTCCTCAGGCCGGGAGGAGTCCAGTCCTCCCGCTCCCTGCACGGGGAAGTGGACCCAGGAGAGGACATCAGCGAGAGGAGAGCAGGGCCAGAGGGGACAGGGACGCTGCCGCCCCCTGGGGTGGTGTCCTGGGGCTCCCTCGGGCTGCCTGCAGCCACAGCAGCGTGGATGCCACAGCCTTTGGTGCTGCAGCAGCTCATGGCTCCCCTGACTTAGGAACAAGCGCCTCTCTCCCATGATCTGCCAGGGATTCGGCCACAGATGCTTTTCTGCACCTTTTGTTCTCTCAAAGCTCAAGGACACCTCCTTCTCGACCATGTGTCAGGATGAAGGCTGTGCAGCCATCACCTCCTCATGAGCTCTGTCCGTGGAGGCAGACAGGGTCTGGAGAGCTTCAACAGGCATCTGGGCCCCTCTCGGGGCTGCTCGGGGGGCAGGAAGAGGGAGACTCCAGGCAGGGCCGCCCCGGAGCACCAGAAACACAGCTGTGGATGGCTGAGAGGAACAGGGTCTCCCACCCAGGCCTGGGCGCTGGGATCTTAGTCCACTCAGGCTGCTGCAGCAAAATGCCCTGGCCTGGCTGGGTTACAAACTGCAGAAATTATTCCTCATAGCTCTGGAGCCCGGGAGTCTGAGCCCTGGCGTTGGCCGACCCGACGTCTGCTGGTGACCCACTCCCTGGCTTGTGGACTGATGCTGTGTCCTCACGTGGGACAAGAGCCCCACCCCGTGACCTGACCCCGCCTCTGTCACCTGCCGTGGGTGAGGATTTCGACACAGCCATTTGGGGCGGGAGAGGGACCGGAAACATTGGGTCCACAGCGGGTTGGAGGAACTGCATGCCGTCCCTGCTGCCCTG